CACACCACCACCACCCACACCCCCATCACACCATGCCACTACCACCACTACCACCACCACCACCACCCCCACACTGCCACCCCCACCATCACACCATCAGCCTATCACCACCACCATCACACCACCACCCATACCACCACCATCACACTATGCCACTACTGTCACCACCACAGCCCCACCAAACCACCCCTACCACACCCACACCCCGACCCTACCACTCCACCACCCCATCACACCACCACTACTCCCACCACCACCACCCCACCACCATTGCCACCAACACACCCCCGCCACCCCACCACCATACGCCCACCACCACACCCGCACCCACACCCACACCACCAACCACCAGTCTCACCCCCACCATACCACCACCACCACAGCATACTACCACCATCACACCCCTGCCACCCCTACCACCACACTACCACATTACCACTACCACATCACCACTACCATCACACCTAATCACCACAATATATGTCTAAAAGATCTTTTAACTCAGGGTGAAGAGAAGGCTTCTAGGAGTCAGTGCTAAGCTGAACACACTGACTAGACAGGTATCCACATTTTGAGCTCTTGCTTAAAGGCAATACTCTGCTGGCTTATGGGAAAGCATTCTATAAACTGTGAGCATTCTATAAACTGCTAGTGGTAGAAAGGACTTATGGTCCAAGAGACCAATAGTTGAACCATCTTAGCTTTCAGCTATTTCCCAATGCTGAGATTCACACTATGATGTCCCACAGGCCTGAAATAGCACAGTGGGAAGCAGTACTGGGTCAGTCACGGACACCTGGCTTGAAGCTGGTTGTCCTGATGTCAAGGGCTTGGCTGGCTCTGCCTGGTCATTAGAGGATACAGAAGCCCGGGGAGCCACTGGAGGCCCAAAAGAAAGCATAGAAGGCATATTCAGAAGATGCACAAAGGGAGACATCATGCAGAAGTTACCACACATGTGCCTCAACGCTGTGTGCGGTAAATATGCTCATTGTTGTTAGGTGCCATTGAGTCATCTCTGACTCTGTGTTTAACCTACCTCTTTGATGGGCTTTCACATTTTACTAGATTTTTTTGCTTCAATTTGCAATGCTGTCATGTAGTTCTTGTTTCTGTTGTTAAGTGCCATTGAGTAAGAGTCATAGCCACCCTATGCACTATGGATCTGACCCTGTCCTCTCCTGCGTCTCCTCACCATCTCTGACACGTGTAGCCTGTTGCTGCAGTCACTGTGTCAATCCATCTCCTTGAACATCTTCCTCTCTTTCACTGACCCTATACCCTCCTTAGCATAATGTCCTGTCCAAGAAATAATCTCTCTTAGCAACATGTCCTGTGGACTTACTTTCATTTTCTTCAGCCTCAATTTGAACTTGCATATGAGTAATTGACGGTCTGGCCCACAGGCTGCCCCTGGCCTCGTTTTGACTGTTGATATTGAGCTTCTCCAACGATTTCTTCCACAAATGTAGTCAACCTGATTCCTATGCAGCCCACTGGGTAAAATCCATGTGTAAAATCATCTTTTGAGTCTTTTAGAAAAAAAAATATTTGCAATGAATAAATCATTGTAAGTACAAAATTCAATCATTCTATTTCCAGCTTGATTTCTATAACCAAGCCTATTTTCCAACTACTGTTTTTCTTCATTATTTCCAACTTTTGCATTCTAGTCACCAATTATCATTAATGCCTTTTTATTGCATGTTCAGTCAACTTCAGACTGCAAAATTTGGTGGGGAAAAAAAGGTCATTACAAAACCAGAGGAGAAAGAAAAAGAAGAAATGGATGTCAGGAGAGACCCTAAAGATTGCACTGGGATGTCAAAAAGCCAAATCTAAATGAAAACATGTTGCAGTGAAAGAGCTTAACAGACAGTTTCAAAGGGCTGCTCAGGAGGATAAAGCAAAGTATAATAATGGAACGTGCAGAGAGCTGGAATCGGAGAATAAAAAGGGAAGAACTCGCTTTGCATTTCTCAAGCTGAAAGAAGTGAAAAACAAATTTAGGCCTTATGTGTCAATGTTGAAAGATGTTATGAGAATGAGCCAGAAAGCATCAAAAGAAGATGGAAGGAAAACACAGAGCTACTGTATCAGAAAGAATTGATTGACACAGAAAAATTCTGGGAAGTACCACATGAACCACATAAACATTACCAATGGTAATAAAAGAGGAAGTGGAAACTGCATTGAAGGCATTGGCAAAAAGCAAGGCCCCAGGAATTGATGGGATATCAATTGACTTATTTCAATTAAAAAATGCAGCCTTGGATGCACTTACCAGTCTATGCCAGGGAATTTGGAGGATGTTATCTGGCCAATGGATTGGAAGAGGTCCATATTTGTTCCAACTCCCAAGAAAGGTGATCAAAATGAATGTGGAAATTATCGAACAATATCATTGATATCACATGCAAGCAAAATACTGCTGCTTATCATTCAAAACAACTGGAACAATACACAGATAAGGAACTGCCAGATGTTCAAGCAGGATTAAGAAGAGGCCGTGACACCAGGGATATCATGGCTGATGTCAGATGGATTGAAAGTAAGGAATAACAGAAGAATGTCTATTTGTGCTTTATTGACTATGACTTTTGACTGTGTGGATCATGACAAGTTGTGGCTGACATTGAGGATAATGGGAATCCCAGAGCACTTGATTGTGTTTATGAGGAACCTATACCTGGACCAGGGGAACACTGCATGGGAAGGGAGTCCATCAGGGTTGTATTCTATCTCCTTACCTGTTCAATCTATATGCTGAGAAAATTATCCAAAAAGCTGGACTCAATGAAGAGAAATGTGGCATTAGAATTGGAGA